GTGCACTGCCCCCGCGCCGCGACCGCGCTCGCTTCCCTCGCGGGGCCAAGCCCAACCCGCAGGCCTCTCTGCTCCTGAATGCTGGAGAAATGTGCACGTGCCCGATGCCCTCCTGCGATCCGGGAAGGTCGACATTCCAAAACCCGCCTGGCCCTGGCCTTTCAGAGGAGGAATCGCAGCTCGGCGTGAACTGCACAGGCGTAGCCACGCTGCAAGGCTTAACGGAGACGTCAGATGTACAAAAACGGTCTCGTGCTTGCTTGTACAGTGGAGTTAGGTGTGTGGGCTCGGAAGAGCATGCAGGTGTTCATGCGCAGGTACGGCCTGGGGGCTAGTGCAGGGTTGCATGTGGTCACACATCTGCAGGACCTGCGGACCCCAGCCTCCCAGGCTAGCATCCCTCGGGATGCCTGCGCTGTCTTGTGCCCTCAGGCAGGCCAGACACGCCCCGATTCTGGCTACCTCAGCCCCTTCTTTGACTGTGTGCCATCCTCACCTCTCTCCCCAACCTCCATCTCCTCCATCTCCTATAAAACCCTGTCTTGTCCTGCCTCACAGAGAGATTGGGGGCAGCCCACACCGCTCATCTCTGGGTTTCCCCCAACCTGCACTGATTTCCATGAGCTGTCTGCCTGGGGCTTCCCCTTATCTCCTTTAAGTCTATGCAGACGTCACCTTCTCAGGGCATAACCTTGACCACCCTCTCCAAACACCCCCTCTCACCCTCTCTGCTTCCTGTCTCAGTCGCACCAGCTGACATACTATAGACTTTCCTTGTTCATGTTGTTACTGCCTGTCTCCCACACTGGAAGAAAAGCTCATGAGGTCACAGATTTTGTCTATTTTGTTCACTGCTATGTCCCCAGCAGCTAGAGCAGTAGGTTTATGGTCCATAATAGGGAGGCAAGAAATATTTGTTCACTGAATTAATAGTTAGTGTCTGGTTGCTTTTCATGACCAGCCATGGCTCTAGGCCAAGCATGTCAAACTCAAAGGTTAACACGGGCCAAATAAACAAGGTTTAAGTTTATGTGGGCCGCAAAAAAAACACAAAAGCTTGAGTTTTCATAGAAACGTAGGTTTATTTCGATAGAGACATGCTGAATACAAAGGGCTGAAATAAATGAGTCATTGTTAACATAAAATAATAGAACATTTTAATAAAAATTAATATTTTTTCTTGAACATTAACTTATCAGACACTGAATAACCGCACTAATTAATAAGCGTAACACAAATAAACCTATTTTTCTTGTTCTCCAAAAACGAAATATTTCCTGTTACGCACACCAAACAAGTCAGTACAAGACTAATGACGTGGCAGTTGGCTGTTAAAATATTCGCTGCTAGTATTAGTGGAGAGAAATGGTGCCCCTGCACGTAAGGTGCGTAAGGGAAACAAATGCAACACAAATCAGTCAATAGCGAACATTGTAGTTTGTTAATAATAATTATGTCTAGCAGGATATTGTAAAAATGAAGTTACGACATTTTTATTAAAACGTTACTTACATACAGTTATATTGGCTGGGCCACAAAAATATTCGTTGTGGGCCACATGGGGCCGAGGGCTGCGAGTTTGACATGCTTGCTCTAGGCCAGTGGTCGGCAAACTCATTAGTCAACAGAGCCAAATATCAACAGTACAACGATTGAAATTTCTTTTGAGAGCCAAATTTTTTAAACTTAAACTATATAGGTAGGTACATTGTTATTAACTTAATTAGGGTACTCCTAAGGCTTAGGAAGAGCCACACTCAAGGGGCCAAAAAGCCGCATGTGGCTCGCGAGCCGCAGTTTGCCGACCACGACTCTAGGCAGTCTCCACCAACGATCTCAGTGAACTAAACCATTTCCTGCTTCTTGGAGGCCTGCCAGCATCTCCTGCCACATGGGCTCACTTGTCATCATCAGGCATTGGGTCTCTTGCAGCCCGTCTGGGGCTGCGATGTGACTACAGTGAGACTAAACCCCTGGGTCCTCTCCTGGCTTCCTCCCATAGCTTCCAGCTTGGGAGGAAGTTACGTAGGCCTTATAGGAGCTGTAGGCAGCTAGGGTGCCTGTCATGGATCTGTCTGCAGACCTGTGGCAAGATCTCTGGCAGAATCCTGCCCTCTGGAGCCTCTCCCCAACCGCCCTCCCCCCGCCCCTCTCCGCACAGTATCTCGCCAAATGGTGAATGCATGCTTGTCTCTTCCTGGCTGTATCTGTCCTCAGCACAGTGCCGGTAAGGGACAGGCACTCGGAATTGCACTGATGAATGAATAGTCCTCGGGGAATTCTTCAGAAACTCTTTAGCCAAATATCCTTCTGCCATGAAACTTCTACTTATTTTTTTAAAAAATAATAAATTTAATTTGTAGCACTTTAAATTTGCAGACGAATTTGCCAAAACAAGAAAGGCAGTCTGATTTACTGGGGAAAGATCAATGACTTGATTTTTATATAGTCAGCTACTTTGTGAATGCCTAGGAAGACAGCTGAGGGAAGTAGGTCACTGTTATATCTTTGGGGAGTAGAGAGCTTTCGGCATACGCTGAGATTTCAGAGCAGGAGATTGGGTGGGGTCCTGCTCTCTGCCAGCCACGTGACCTAGGTAACGCCTCACGCTGTGCCTGGGTTCCTCTCAGTGCCTGGTTCACACGCATCGCAGTGTTATAATTGGCAGGTTCTGGTCCTGGGAGGGCGGTGGGGCTGACATTACTCACTCCGTGTCCTCCCTTCTCTCCTTAGACTCAGGGCAGGGTCCTGCTCCAGACCATCTGTGCAGCTGGCATTGGTGGAACTTTTCAGTTTGGCTATAACCTGTCCATCATCAATGCCCCAACCGTGGTATGTACCTTCTGTGCCTACGATCACCAGCTGAGTGGGTGCTAGGTGAGCGCTGACAGTTGTCCCCTGTGGTGTTCAGGCCAGCATCCACTTGGCGGCACTTTCTCCCACACATCCGCCCCCACTGGTACTTCGGGTTCAAATCCAGCTCTGCATCCTCCCCCTTCACCTGCACTCCTCCTGAATCCCCGATGACTCCACCGTCTGCCCAGTGCCTTTACTCTGACACCAAGTCCTTCACTACCTTTAGCATCCAGCCGTTTCTCCCCATGTCTCTGCCAGGACCCCGGTTCAGACCCCATCTCTCCTGTCTGGATTGCTGGCCCAGCCTCCTCACTGGCCTCCCTACCTTCAGCTTCTCCCCTTCTAGATCCTCTCACGTCTGATCAAGCCCAGAACATTCTGTGTCTTCCTAGTGCCTATAGGAATGAGGACAGACGCATCCACCCGAAATCCAAGGCCTTCTGGGATCAGAGCCTGTTCATGGCTCCCGCCTTCATTCCCCAGCCCCAAGTCTTATACTGACTTGCAGCTCCCTGAATGCGCACAGCCTTCCTCAGACCCTCCTTTTGCTGAGAAGCCCTCTCTGTCCACCCCCGCCCCCACCAAAAACCCCCGCAGAAGCCCCTCAAGAACCACCCAAATGCCATCACCTTCCTGGTGCCTTCCCTCACCAGCCCCCAGCGGGACGTCACCCTCCCCTGCCCTCGGTGTGGCTGTCAGCACTCGGGCTGTGCTGGCTGTCTGGGCCCCTCTCTCCCTTTTGTTGGCTCACTCAGTGTTGGATCATCTGTGAATCCCCAGCAGCTGATGCTGGCCTGGCCCCTGTCCATGTTCATTCTGGGCCTGTGGAAAGGATGAGTCGGTGAGCCCCAGTGATAGAAGCTGCCTCTAACTTGCTTAAGGAAGAAGGGCAAGTGTCCTGTCACTTCGCTGGGAAAGATGTGGGGATATAAACCGTGTGTGTGGGGGGCGGGGCGGGGGGGGAGCTGCAGGAACCAGGCCCTAGGATGGAACTGGGGCTCTCCTGTCCCTGCCTGGCCTCATCCTCTACCCAGTGACAAGACAGCAGCTGTCACCAGACTCACTTTTTTAAAAAATATTTTTTTAAATTGATTTCAGAGAGGAAGAGAGGGAGAGAGAAAGAGATAGAAACATCAATGCTGAGAGAGAATCATTAATTGGCTGCCTCCTGCACTCCCTCTACTGAGGATCAAGCCCACAATCCAGGCATGTGCCCTGATCGGGAATTGAACCCTGACCAGGAATTGAACCCTGACCTCCTAGTTCATAGGTCGATGCTCAACCATTGAGCTACACTGGCCGGGCCAGACTCACTTTTTATCAGCTGGGAATCTCCAAATAAAAGTCCTCCTTGGTAGCTCTTCACAGAGAGGCCTGGAAAGAGTGCTTAACTGGCTTGGATCACATGCCCACCCCTAGACCAATCATGTGGTGAAGAGGGCAGAGCACTTCCATTGGCTACATCTGGGTCAGGTGACTACCAATCCTATATAATAAAAGGATAATATGCAAATAGACCAAACGGCAGAACAACTGAACAACCAATCAAAGTGTAATATGCTAATAATATGTTAAGGCTGCTGAACCTCTCGCTATGACATGCACTGACCACCAGGGGCAGATACTCCGACCGGTAGGTTAGCTTGCTGCTGGGGTCCCGCTGATCATCGGGACTGAGCAAGATGGGCCTGCACGCCCTGGAGCCCTCCCACGGTCTGTCCCTGGACACATTGTGCACTGGTGGGGTCCCTCAGCCTGGCCTGCACCCTCTCGCAATCCAGGACCCCTCGGGGGATGTCAGAGAGCCAGTTTCAGCCCGATTCCGCAGGCCATGCCCCTTGAGAGGGTGCCAGGCGCAGGGCTCATGGCTGGTGAGCGCTGTTGAGGCAGCGGGAGCCTCTCTGGGACTGATTGGGCACAAGCCTACGGCAGGCACAGTGGTGCCCGGATGAGCGGGAGCAGCAGGTAGGAGCTGCAGGCAGTATTGGACTGTGGGTTTCAGCCAATCCCTGCAGGCCACCCAGAGGGACCCCACCCGTGCATGATTTCATGCATTGGGCCTCTAGTAGGGGCTATAATTGACAATGGAAGAGAACTACTCCAAAGGAGGAAGTGGGTAGCAGAAGCCCGGGTGGGAGTACATTCTGGGCAGAAACAATTCCAGCCGCCAGCCTCTTAGAGAAAGGAAGAACTGCTGGCTTGAGAAAGGGAGGTCTGAACCGGCTGCATTTGTTTATTTGCTCACTCAACAAGGATATGAGTGCCCGCCAGGGCAGACTTACTTGTGGGGCACTCTCACGTCTTGTCTCCTGTGGGCCATCACTAGTCCCCCCCCACCCCCCCACTGGGACTTTCTTGGCCTCGGAGCCTCCCCTACCTCACTGAATGGTCACTCCTGAGGAGTTCCAGTCAAGGTTGGCTCTTCTGGGCACGTCCTTCCTCCAGGGGGACCTAGTGGGTACCAGGCTGACAGCCATTACACTGAGCTGGCCCAACACTAAGTCCCCAGCCCTCCTGACATCCTCCCTCACATCTGGTTGGGAGGCCTAAGACCCGCCAGACACTGACATTTCATCTCTAACCAAGGGAAGGGGTGTGTGGGTCTTTCCCCGAGCACAGTCATTCCTAACCTCGTGGCCTCTGTTCAGTTTCCAGAGTGGCAGCTCTGGGGGTGGGGTTGTGGGGTGTCTGAACTACCTGGCAGCAGCCCTGACCTGTGGCTCAGGCGGTGGGCAAGTCATTCCACCTCTTTGGGCCTAATTCCCAGTCTTACCAATGAACAGAGTCATGTGTTCTCCCAGACGAGGACTTGCCACAGTTGGGGTCCCAAGGAGACACGCAGCACGCTCCGGAGAAGTCAGTGGGTTTCGATACCACAAAGGGCTGAGTGGGGCGCTGAGAGCACACAGGCCAGAGGGGGTGCGGTCACAGCCACGCAGACTCAGGAGCACAGGAGGGCGGCCGTGTGGCCCAGACCCCCTTGAAAGTGACGGTGACCTTTGGCCTCCTGCTCTGTCTGCAGTTTCGTTCTCCCCGTGGGGAGAAGGCCTAGCGTGTGTAGTCCCCTCCCGGGGAGGCTGACTGGCATCTCTGTTCACAGCACATTCAGGAATTCACCAATCAGACGTGGCAGGCGCGGACCGGCCAGCCACTGCCTGACCACCTGATCCTGATCATGTGGTCCCTCATCGTGTCTCTGTACCCCCTGGGGGGCCTCTTTGGAGCGCTGCTTGCCGGGCCCCTGGCTGTCATGCTGGGAAGGTAAGTGCTTCCTGTGTACCCCCAGTGACCTTTACTGAGGGTCACCCCAGTCTGCAGGCTGAGGAATGCCTGTAGTTTCACCATGAGAGTCACAGCTCAAGCGGATTTGGTAGAGGGAGGAGTCTGCTGTGTGAGAGGGAGGACTCCAGTGTCTAGTTCCACATCTGCCAACAAATGCTATTTGTAAACAATAGCCTCATTTCCCCCTTTGGGCCTCATTTCCCCCTTTGTAACCAATCTTTTCTTTCTTTTGTTTTAAATATATTTTTATTGATTTCAGAGAGGAAGGAAGAGGGAGAGAGAAATAGGAACATCAATGATGAGAGAGAATCATTGATTGGCTGCCTCCTGTACAGTACACCCCACACTGGGGATCAAGCCCACAACCGAGACATGTGCCCTGACCAGGAATAGAACCGTGACCTCCTGGTTCATAGGTCGACACTCAACCACTGAGACACGCCAGGAGGGCTACCGGTCCCTTCCTTTTACAAGGGAGTTTGAGGAGAGGGGTGCTTACTCTGAGGGATAAAGCCATACATATCAATCTGTCATTTCAAGCTGTGGGGCAGGCAGGAAGAGAATGGTTTGAAGTGCGTTGGGACATACCACGTGTGACCCAGGTACAATGGCTAGTGGTCATTTCCACCCAGTCGCTTAGAGTCCTTAGCACAGTTCACACACACACCCACACACACACACACACACACACCCACACACACACGTCTGATTAGGGCTGGCTGGGGTTGCAGAGAGGGCTCCCCAGGGGCCGTCCCTCTGGACTGACCTGAGCCTCCCTTGCCTGTGCCCCACTCCCCCCAAGGAAGAAGTCCCTCCTGGTGAACAACGTCTTTGTGGTGGCCGCGGCGATCCTGTTTGGCTTCAGCCATAGAGCAGGCTCCTTCGAGATGATCATGCTGGGGCGGCTGCTCATGGGAGTCAGCGCAGGTATGGGGGGGGGGGGGGGCATCTCACCTGCCTCTCCCTTCCTGCTCATTCTTTTATTCTCTTCGTTCACTAATTTATTCTCTTTATCCGTTGATTTACTTTTCACTCATGCCTACCTTAATTTTGCAAAAATGATTAAGTATGGTTTATCTAAAAAGGCTCATATAACTAGACATTGAAAGTGGATATAGGAGCCGAAACCGGTTTGGCTCAGTGGATAGAGCGTCGGCTTGTGGACTGAAAGGTCCCAGGTTCGATTCCGGTCAAGGGCATGTACCTTGGTTGCGGGCACATCCCCAGTAGGAGATGTGCAGGAGGCAGCTGATCGATGTTTCTAACTCTCTATCTCTCTCCCTTCCTCTCTGTAAAAAATCAATAAAATATATTTTAAAAAAAAAGAAAGTGGATATAGGAAAATCAAAAAAGTTGTATAGGGATGTGAGGACAAACATTCCCAGACCCACACCAACAGGGGGGGTCCTGTGTTTGAGTAATGCGCTAAGTAGGCATGAGCTTCCTGGCAGCCAAGGTGTAAAGGCATCTAAGATGAGTTCTCTGATCTTCCAGACCAGTGGTTCTCAACCTTCCTAATGCCGCGACCCTTTAATACAGTTCCTCATGTTGTGGTGACCCCCGATTTCATTGTTACAAATTGAACATAATTAAAGCATAGTGATTAATCACAAAAACAATATGTAGCCCTGGCCGGTTTGGCTCAGTGGATAGAGCGTTGGCCTGCGCACTGAAGGGTCCCAGGTTCGATTCCGGCCAAGGGCACATGCCTGGGTTTGGGGCTCAATCCCCAGTAGGGAACCTGCTGGAGGCAGCCAATCAATGATTCTCATCATTGACGTTTCTCTCTCTCTCCCTTTCTCCCTTTCTCTCCGAAATCAATAAAGAAATATATTTTTTTAAAAAACAATATGTAATTATATATGTGTTTTCCGATGGTCTTAGGCGACCCCTGTGAAAGGGTTGTTCGACCCCCAAAGGGGTCGCAACCCACAGGTTGAGAACCGCTGTTCCAGACAGAGGCAGAATAGCCTGTTAGGGGCTCCTCAGTTTTGGGGGCCTGTCACGTGAGGGAGCAGAATTTTGAGCACATCCATCTGGGCTTTTAGGGGTTCCCATTAATAAATCCCCTCTTGACTCCCTGCTGTGTAAACAGCCAGGTGTAAATGTCTCTATTAGGGATCTAGTCCAGTAAAACAAAGTATGTAAAAGTGTAGTGGCTTAAAGCAGCCAACATTCATTGTCTGATGGTTCCTGTGGGTCGGGACCTGGGAGTGTCTTAGCTGTGGCTCTGGCTGGGTTCTCTTGAGGCTGAGGTCACGCTGTCAGGCAGGGCTGCGGTCACTCAGGGTTTGACGAGGCTGGAGGACCTGCTTCCAAGATGCCTGTTGGCAGGGGGCCCCGTCCTCAGCCTGTGGGTCTCACACGCGGTGGCTGGTTTCCTGCAGCGTAAGCGATCCAAGAGAAAGAAGAGTGTGTGTGTGTGTGTGTGTGTGTGTGTGTGTGTGTGTGTATGCTCAAGGAGGGGGTCCCAATTTTTAAAAAAATATATTTTATTGACTTCAGAGAGGAAGCGAGAGGGAGAGAGAGAGAGAGAAACATCAATGATGAGAGAGAATCATTGATTGGCTGCCTCCTGCACGCCCCCTACTGGGGATGGAGCCTGCAGCCCCGGCATGTGCCCTGACCGGGAATAGAACCATGACCTTCATAGGTCGATGCTCAACCACTGAGTCACGCCGGCTGGGCTGTTTTTTATGTCCTAATCTCAGAAGCCAGACACCGTTAGTTTTGCCACAGTCTACTTGTGAGAAGTGAGTCACTAAGAACAGCCCACACTCCAGGGAAAAGGAACTGGGTCAGACTTTGTCTTTGTGCCCCGAGGACGAGGACGAGGACCTAGCACAAAGGCTAGGTCCCCACCTGCTTGGAGGGAGAGCAGGGCACCTCTGAGGCTTTGGCCATCGACGCATCACCTTGTTCCCAGCTCCCTGCACCCAAATGAGACCCGGTTCCTGATCCCAGGCCAGGCAGGGAGGGACCGGCACTCCCAGCAGGTGGATGATGCTCAAATACTGGCCTCCTAGCGTTTGGCAGCTGTTGCCGTCTGGGGTGGGCAGGGGGAGTGCTGTCCGGTTCCGTTCTCCCGCTGGTTGCCTGGGTGCCAGGTGTCTCTGGAGAAGTCAGGGTGAGGTGAGCACTGCAGAGTAGTGGTCACTGAAAGTGTTGCTGTGAGAGCCGGACAGCGGGTGGGCATCGGATGCTGCCCTTCCCTTCTCCCATCACCCGCTCAGCTCCCTCGGAGCCCTTTACATTCAGCCCAGTGACGGGGTCTAGAGAGATTCGATGACCAGAGTGGGACTGTGGTGAGGGGACAGGATGGGGCTGATCTGAGGAAGACTTCTATCTCAGAGGTCCTGGGGGCCGGGAGGGGGGGGGGACCTGGAGTCCTGCTGGCCCTAGAGCAGGTGGGGGGTGCTCTCAGCCTAGGGGGTGAGGGAGCAGCCCTGTGCCAGGATCCAGTAGATGAGGTGCCAGGAGGTGGGGAGGCAGGCCCGGGCATTGCGGGGAGGGGGTCCAGCCTGCGGTCTGACTGTCTGCGTGCACACGGCCAGGTGTGGGCATGAGCATCCAGCCCATGTACCTGGGGGAGAGTGCCCCCAAGGAGTTCCGGGGAGCCGTGACCATGACCTCAGCCATTTTCACTGCCCTGGGGATCGTGATGGGACAAGTGGTGGGACTCAGGTAAGTGCCCGCCATGTGCCAGTAAAAGCCCTTCTTTGCCTAGACTCCTCACCACCTATGACGTAGATGAAGGCATGGCTTCTTTGTATTGCGGTATTGAGACCTGTCCCCTTCCATCTGCCGGTGCACAAAACGGTTCTCAGTGAGCCACACTTCAGTGTGAATCACCCTTCTCATCAATCCTCTCCAGAGGAGGAAGCAGAAAGCAGGTCTTGACAGACAAGAGGGGGAAGGTTTGGGCTTTTGAAGGGGAGCATGTCTCGGTCGTCCCAGAAAAGAGAGGAGAAGGCCAAGCCGGGAGCCCTGGGAAGGGAGTTGTCAGGGAGAAGGTGGGGCCACAGCCGTGCCTGGGCTGGGGTCCTTACCTGGTGGGAGGGGTCTTGGTGTCCAGGCCCAGAGCTGGTTAGGAAGAAGCACAGAGCCATGCAGACCCTCTGCCCTCAACAGGACAGGCAGGCAAGTTGCGGGGTGGGGAGCAGGTGGATAGGGGGCAGGGCTCTGGCATGGAGGTGTCTGGCTGGCCTCTCCTCTGCCTCTCCAGGGAGCTGCTGGGTGGCCGGCAGGCCTGGCCCCTGCTGCTGGCCAGCTGTCTGGTGCCTGGGGTGCTGCAGCTGGCCTCCCTGCCCCTGCTCCCCGAGAGCCCGCGCTACCTCCTCATTGACCGTGGAGACACCGAGGCGTGCCTGGCAGGTGAGTCCCGGACCTCAGGTCCCTAGACCACTCTCGGCCAATGGGCGCCTCTGCCCAGAGCATGGGGGTCCCCTTTTCTCAGGGAAAGGTTGTCCCTCTCTCTGAAGGTCCGTCAATCCCTTCAAAACCCCAGGGCGGTGCAGAGAAAGCTCCCACACACGTGCAGGATGAAATACCATGTGCGACTTCCCTGGCCCAAGGCCAGCGGGGTGCTGACGGTCTTATTCATTAGCTATGGCCACAGTCACGATGCCCCAGAACAATCCCCAAATCTCTGGCTTAAAACAACAGTCACTTACCCCAACCAGGTGGCTCAGTTGGTTGCAGCGTCGTCCCGTACACCAAAAAGGTTGCAGGTTCGATTTGATTCTGGTCAGGGAGACAACCGATCAATGCTTCTCTCTCTCTCTCTCCCCCTCTCTCCCTAAAAATTAATAAACATATCGTCTGGTAAGGATTGAAAACAACAACAATCATTTACTTTACTTTCCATTTATTTACTCACTGGGCTGGCTGCACAGCTCTGCTGGTCTTAGCTGGGCTGGCTCTGCTGTCAGAGGCAGCTGAGGACTGGCCCGTCCAGGCTGGTCTGGGCTGGAGCAGTTCAGCTCTGCTGCACATGCCTCTCTCTCTCTTTCTGTCTCTCTTTCTCTCTTTAAAAATATGTGTTTATAGCCCTCATGGTTTGGCTCAGTGGATAGAGTGTCAACCTGCAGACTGAAGGGTCCTGGGTTCGATTCCGGTCAAGGGCACATGGCCGGGTTGCCAGCTCGATCCCCAGTAGGGGGCGTGCAGGAGGCAGCCGATCAATAATTCTCTCTCATCATTGATGTTTCTATCTCTCTCTCCCTCTCCCTTCCTCTCTAAAATCAATAAAAATATATTTTTTTTAAAAAAAGAAAAAGAAAGAGGTTTGTTTTTTTATTAAACTAACCTAGCAAGTTTGGAATAAGTTAAATCTAATTACAATTTGTTCCTTCTGAAGGTTTTTTTGTGCTCATGTCTTTTTTTTTTCAATCTTCACCCAAGAATATTTTTCCATTGATTTTTAGAGAGAGCGGAAGAGAGAAGGAACGACAGAGAGAAATATCGATGTGAGAGAAACACATCTATTGGTTGCCTCCTGCATGAGCCCCGACCAGGGCCTGGGCCTGGGAGGAGCCTGCAACCGAGGTACGTGCTTGCATTTGTCCGGCCTCCTCACCATTCTCTGTCTGGTCTTGGAACCGATACATAAGTCACAGGTCTTAGTTATGGCGGCACCCACTCCTTGTACCAATTCACTGATCGGTTTTCCATTTCTGCCTAACAATCGCTGCATCTCTGTGGCCAACAACAGAAGCAGCTGCGGAGCTCACGCCTCTGTGAGTTCTCTGGGGTTGGCTGATGTAGGGCTGGGTCTGGCTGGTGGCTCTGCCCCTTCCGGTCACTCCTGCAGGCCTACTGGGCATCGGCTGATCTGTGCGCTACCAGCTGGGCAATCTCTGCTCCTTCTGGCACCACTGGGCTAGCCTGGCGAGATTTTATAATGATGGCCAAATAGAAATGAGCCAGGTCCCTGAAGGCGTGGGCCGGAACAGGGGCCTGCCCTCCCCACAGACTCATCCAGTCGCTGTTTCGTTGGCTGGATCCACCGAATCCCGAGGTTCTAACGTCCTTTCTGGTCCATGAGGCTGCGGACAGGGCCCGGGAGATCATCCCATCTGA